AACCGTCAGAAGAATCCGAGAAGGTGCCTCAGCAGCCTCGGAATCCCCTGACAGATCCATCTGCGAGCCACATGAAGAGTGCCGCCGCGCCACCTCGGCAGACGTGGGTCCCGCACAATGGGGCCCATGAGCCTGGCATCCTCATTAAAGATGGCCAAGTGGGAACGCAGCACACGGATCGATAAACGTTCACAATCCTTGCAAGCAGCCCCCTCGAGAGCTGCCTGCACGTGCTGCATTCCCAACAGTGTGTGTACAGTCATGTGTCCCCACCCGTAGAGAGGGCAGGGATGCACACACTTCCTGAAACTCGCACTCGCCATCATGCAATATAATGCTTGTCATTTGACAAACAACACCAAATAGGACGTACAAACAGAGAGCGCTTGCTGAAGAACAGAAAGCTGACATCTCATGTGTGCCGGCATCCCTTTATAGCTTCCGCTTGTATGTCGTCACACATTACGTCATGACGCAACACCAATCAGAGATTGGCTTAGTTTAATTCATGCTTCAGAGACGCTACGCTGAGGGGCGTTCCCCCAAAGTGTCATTCGACGCAGTTCAAGTTCCCTCAAAAGAAAACTAAGGCTGGAAATGTTATATGGTGTAAACCACATTACCACCTGTGTAATTCTCTAGGGGCGCTTTGAAAAAGGGAAAAGACATTTCTTTGTTTTAGCCCCTGCATTAAATCGTGTTATTACTCTTCCAGGACCATGAACAATGATTAACCTGACCACACTCAGATCCGTAGATATTTTGTCAGGTTGCTACCGAATATGTTGTTAAATGATAAATCTTTAAATGTCTTTAAATAATTACAAGGGAGAACAGGGGGAACCAGGAGCATCAGGCCTAAAAGGTTCAAAGGTCAGTCTTATTTCCTCAGTAATCCATGCATAAGAAAGTTAAAAACAATTCATATTTGAAGCTAAAATATTAAAACAAGGAACATGTGTGTGTTACTATAAGAAGTTAAAAAAAAATCTATTGTCTTAAATGACTAAATATAATCTCTGTCCATATTTTACAATTACAGGGGGATCCAGGAGACAAAGGTGGTGAAGGCCCAACAGGATCACAAGTGAGTAAAGTTTACAAATGTCTAAAAGTGACTTTTTGACAACTCTGACTAGCAAATGCAACACTGACCTATTAATTAGCTTTATTCTGACATCAGTTGATTGCTGTGGAGTATAAAATTCATCATTATCTTTCAGAGTGTAAAATAGAGTATACAGAATTGAATGAATATTCAATGAAGAGTATACAGAATTGAATATTCTCCCAAATATGAACTTGTCATGCTGACGTAATTGGGTGGTTGCTCTTGACTGAATGAAACCAGAAAGGGCAGGATTTATTGATTCCTCCATGGCATTATGCAAAAAAACAAGTTGTCAAATAAGCCAAAGTCAGTAAATACATGACTGTGCAATGAAAAATAACTGTGATGAAGTTCCTGAAGTAAAGTTCTCACATGAAAGGACTGTAAAGCTGTTAAAGGAATTCATATTTTGTGATGGTGTGAAGTTATAATTTGAAATATTGGTAAGACTTTACAATAAGTTTAATTATTTAACATTAGTTAACTACAGTTTGCATAAACTGCACTTAGACAGCATTTATTAATCTTTGTTATGTTAATTTCAAAAATGTACTAATACCTTAATGCCCTGAGAACTTACATGAACAGATGAACATATTTATTTTTATTAACATTAACAAAGATGAATAAATACATGAATTTACTTATTTATAGTTCATGACACTTAAAGCCACAATATGTATTTTTTCTGCTTTAAAAATAGCAAAATAACTGTATCTATGTTATATATTTCTATTAGATGTGTACTTACATTAACCCCGACAGTTTCCACCAACTTTCAAATACGAAGAAATTTATAGTTTAATTCGAAGACACGGGAGGTTTTTTTTTTTTTTCCGTTTCGTCACCCGTCTATGGCGTCATATAACCTTTGACTCCTCTATTTTCTCTAACTTCCTTGCGGAACCCGGCGAAACCGCCAAACACAAAGGGGAACACTGGACTACCGCCAATAAAGCAAAGAAAATGACGAAGAAAAAAAAGTAGTACGTATTTTTATGTGTGTAAATCACGTGCCCGCTCACGAGCGCTCACTCTTAACAGACGCTGTCCCCGGTGCTGCTCGCGCATAAATCGTTCCCCGTTCACAGTAACCGGGTCGTCTCATTCAAAACAGCCAACAATGTACGTGCCCTCTTCAGCGCGCTCATGCTTACTAAATAAACGCCTCACCTCCGGCGCCTTGCACTCACTACATTCCCTTTAGCCTTAGCACATAGTGGATGCATAACGCAAACCCAGTCAAACGTTTGACTACAGTATCTTATGTGCTTTATAATCCGGTGCACCCTATATGAAAAAATGTTCTAAAATAGGTAATTCATTGAAGGAGCGTAATATAAATATTTATATTCGTCTGTATTAGTTATGGACCACGATTACGCTTTGCCTGCCCGTTTTGCTGCTACAGCCATCTCAGTAAAGCTCAAACGTACGGGTGAAAAATATGACCCGAGAAGGGTTTGGGGCAGGAGAAATAGTATGACACAGGTAAACATTGGGGTTGCATTTAAAGCTTCTCGACAAGCTAAATCTACAGAGAGGTGCCGTATATCCGTATATTTTGTGAAACGATGATGTCATGCCATGAGCTGAGCTGGTTGTCATTGAGAGCGACAACAACTCCCGTGAGCCCACGCTCTTTCCCGACGTCATCAAAGTACGTCTTTTGTTATTATTTTAAATGAGTGACCCCTGGTGGCCAAAAATCACATACTGTACGTTTAATAAATTAAATGAGTCATGTAATGCCATTTTTATACAAGTTAATTTGATTCTTTAGGGCCTAAATGAAAAGTTTGTAATATACTTTAATAAAAAATTCTCGTTAGTATTGTAAAAAAAACACTCATTTTACCTGGTCCAAAACAGCTGTTTTCATGCCTTTAAATGGTTCTGTGCTTCGCTCACCCCGCCCTTCTGTTCTGCTGGCGTTTTGACCCAACCCATATGGAACTTTGCCTTGACAACAGTTGAGGGTATATTTTGGAGAGAGAATGGCAGCGGGAGTCTCTGAGGAAACAGTCGGACCGGAAACAAGATGACGGCCACAAAGAAGTTCGACAATTAAGGCTTGAATAGGACGAATGGTTGGTTAACATATTGTCACTTTGATCTATCTTTATGTACTGGCAGGGTAGAGTAACTTGTAAATAGGGATGGGGCCGATCCGATCCAGTATCGGTATCGGGACCGATACCAGCATAATTCACGTATCGGATTTTTCCGATCCAACCTGCGGAGAAATCCGATATTTATGATCCATGTCTGCGCTTTAACGTTGTCTGCTGAAATGACTCCAAAAGTGATTCCTGCCGGGCCTGCTAGTCTGCTATAGCTGGCTGCAAACTGTGGAATGGATATCCTGAACGGAGGTGCAGCTCAATCAGTGACTGTAAAACATAGGGCTCAATGAGACACACCCCCGCTCAGGAAATCCATTCCGCAGTTTGCAGCCAGCTAGCAGGATTTTCGCTGTGTGGAAATCATATGGTGGAACTGGAAACACCGCTGCAGTGCAGAGCAAGACAGCAAAGTGCAATGTTTGCAAAGCCGTATTAATTAAACTATTTGATGCATGTTTGCAATTCGCAGTCAAGAAGAGAAAGAGAGAGATCTCTCACGCGGTGCAACAACAGCAAGCACAACATGACAGCCCGGCGTAATGAGTGACGACAGAGGAAACGTAGCCTGGTTACACTTTAGATCTGTGATATTAGTCTGATTTCCAAATATTAAAGAATATATTGAGGTAAAAAAAAAAAAAAAAACATTAAAAACAATAGCCGCATTCTGTCTAGCCAACTTCCTTCCCATCGCGGCGGTGCGCTGTCATTTCTCCCTAAAACTCAAACTTTAAGACAGAATCAGCACGATCGATGATTGTAGTAAAATGCAGTCTCTGCTGTTACTAAATTGCGGGACGCTTTTAATAATAAAAAGAGCTATTAAAAGCACAAAATTTGCGCAAGAGATGCTGTTCCCAGTGCGGCGCGCTCCGAAACAGTCTGGTGAGAAATGATTTGCGCAAAAATGACAGTATTGACAATGCTCGTGGGGAATCCCCTTCGAAAACAAAACTCAGCCACTGTGTCTATAGTGGTTCAGATTTAGGAACATTAAAATGATTGCTGTGTACGTTATTACACCCAGGAACAGAACACCACAAGCGCTTAAACGTCATTCGGCTCCAGCGTATCAGCAATGACGGACTATGATGACAGCTTGCTCAGGGCGGGAAGTGTTGAAACGCTGTTGTCAATCAACAATCGTGGGAGGGGCATTCGACTGTGTGACGTCACATGGTCGAACGGCTCAATTTGAGGCAGGGAAAAACATATGATTATATGTAATATATCTGAACATATGACAGATTAAAACAAATACACTGGATAGATTTTTTATCAAGTCAAGTCAAGTATATTTGGTAACACTTTATTTTACGACCCGCAAACAACTGTGTAAGTACACCGAAATTACGGTGTACATTTCTGTAATCATAGTGTACTTCCGTGTAAGTATAAGGGAACAATATGTTAAGTTTGGGGTCATAAAGGGGTAACAAGCAGATATACAACCTGCAAATAACTTCGTAAGTACACTGAAATTACGGTGTATATTTCTGTAATTATGGTGTACTTCAGTGTAGGTATAAGGGAACAATATGTTAAGTTTGGGGTAATAAGGGGGTAACAAGCAGATGTACAAGCAAATTATTTAATTAGTTAAAAAATAACAGGTACCTATTCTGTTAATATATTCCAGGCAAAGATTGTACGTCTGTTTTTTATAAAATGTATCACATTTCTGGCAAAACATGTTCAGGATAATTTTGACATCTGTGGGTTGAAAATTAAACACACACACACATATATATATATATATATATATATATATATATATATATATTGGCTTTTCTTAGATTACTAGTCCAAATAATTTGTTTCTGCTATGATTTTAATTTAGACCGTACCATGTGGTAATTAGTCCTTACCTTATCCCATTGAATTGCAATGACACTTAAATGTCAGCCCATTCTCACCCCCAAGGCGTCACTTAACTGACGCCTTTGGAAGCATTTGGACATGCTTCAATATCTGACGCTTTAGGCGCCCTTTAGCGTCAGTTAGATGATGCCCTAGGATCGCGTGTACCCTACCCCCACCCCACACCTAAACCTAACCGCGTCCTCTAACTGACGCTTTCCTTTAGCGTCAGTTAGATGACGCCGTAGGATCGCGTCATGTAAGTGACGCTAAAGGGCGCCTAAAATGTCAAATATTGAAGCATGGTCAAAGGTGACGCCTTGGGGTGAGAATGCGCTGTAAATGTCAGGGCAAATATACTGTGTAATTAAAACGTTTTTTTTTTTTTTTTTTTTTTTTTTTTTGATAACAGTACCTTTCTCTGTAATTACAGTGCAAAAAGTGTTGTTTCGTTTTGCTACATAGTAAGTAGCGTTTGTTACCCCCTTGTTCTGCGTAGTTACAGGGTAAGTGTAACTCCTGCGGGCTGTAAATTAAAGTGGTGCTTGTTACCCCTTTATTACCCCAAACTTAAAATATTGTTCCCTTATACTTAGACGGAAGTACACTATAATTACAGAAACGTACACCGTAATTTCGGTGTACTTACACAGTTGTTTGCGGGTCGTAAAATAAAGTGTTACCGTATATTTATATAGCACTTTTCACAATATAGATTGCATCAAAGCAGCTACACAGTATCAATCAAAACATTATAACAATGTTCGTTTCTTAGTGGAAAAACATCCACGTTTGGTAGAGCTGATCAAGGGTATTACTGATTGGTTAGTTAATTTGAAAATCCCCTATTGAGCAAGCCAAAGGCAACAGTGGCAAGGAACCGAAAAACTCCATCAAGTGACCTAATGGTGTCCTGAAACTCCATCAGGTGACCCAATGGAGAAAAAAAAAAAACCCTTGGGAGAACCCAGGCTCAGTTGGGGGCCAGTT